TTACTGATATACATACAATTAAAACTACAGGAAATTATAAAAACTAAATTTGAAATATTTGATATTTAAAACAAATAAATACGCAAAAATTAGAAAAATTATTCTATTTAAAGTATTTTGACTATTTTTTTTTAATAGGGCTACTATTTTCTTTCACCATGTGGAAAGAAGAAAATAATGATATGTTTGGCTTGTGGAAGGACCATCAGAGGAAAGAAAGAACTGAAAAAATTGCTCCCTGGTACTATATTTTCCTGTGCCTCTGGGTTCCAGGACAGAAATCATTTATCCATTTGTCCTTTTAAGTGTGTTGATGTTAACAAGGTTGGTTAAGCCTATATATATACATTGGGCATAAACAGATAACCGATGGTATTATAACTTTATCTTTTAGATGGTTTTCAAATAGTGGAGTATTTGTACTTGAACATCAACATTACAATAAAATTAAAGTTAAATACCATTTTTTTCTGGATTTAGTAATGACTAGTTGCTATGGGCTAGTTATGAATCCAGATCATCATCACAGGCTTTGTATTTATTTTGAAAGGAAAGATATGCTGCACATGCTAGAGAACGTGTTCACCTTAAGCAGTATTTTAAAGATTTTAGTGCTCTACTCTGATATTGAAAATGCTGAAATGAGTTGAAATCATGCTTGGATTAAATCCTGACCTTAACTGTGGCTTTCTACCTGCGAATTGGGAATGATTGTGGCATGCCTCACAATTATTATGAATTAATCTTCATGTAGAAGAAAAGGAAGTGTGACTAATTATCCTGTATCTTGTACTTACACATATATCTGTTAAATGACTATCATTTATTGTACCTTGATTCAGGAGGGTACTGAGTTAAGCAAAAAATAATCTCCCCCTCACCCCCCAAGCTTACTATTCCATTAAAAATTTTTAAAAGACATAATATAGTTGACAGTATAACCCCTTGGGATGCAGATACTGATTGCCACTACAGTAGATACTAATATATAGTAGCTACAAACATAGTCCATCAAGCAGCTTTAAAGGCAGTAAATGAGAAATAATCGAATTGGGACATAATTAGATGCCTTGGGAAATTGCCATGGGAATATTCACTAGGTAGATGGTAGAAAAGTCAGCAGTTTTTTCTAACACTGTACTTTATTTGGGAAAGAAGGATTTGAAATCTAGTACAATAACGGAGAAGCAATTTTCTTTTGAGAGGGAATGTGTAAAAGGGATGGATGGGTAATCTTAAACATTTGTGGAGATTAGCAATTAACATTAGTTCAGGAGTTTCTATTCAATAAAAGCCCATTTCACTTCCTGTTTTAGTTAATGGCATTTGGGAAAATATCAACTACAAATTGATTTTCTACTACTTTCTTTGATGGATACAGTTCATCTTAATTTGTGTTATTTAGTTATCTCAATATTTTTGCAGTTATCTATCATGTAGTTATGTATCCAGGGTAGTGAATCTAGCCCTTTTAAATATGTAATACATAACTTCTGGTAATGTTTTTATAAAAATTCAACTCTGAATTTTCGGTGATTTGTATGTCTGTAAAGTGATATCTGCCTGTTTTTCGGTCTGTCTTGTATTTCTTCCATTTTGTCATAAAGTATAACATTTGAAATTTTAATTTTAATTCAATTTAGTTACCTTTTAAAAATTCACTTCACTATGATTATAAAAAAACAAAGTAATGATAAAAATTTGGTTTTGTTTTATTATGGAGATTGATTTATTCTCTGATAAAGCGGAATCCACCCTGCATTATTTAGAAGAAGTTCTAGCATCCTTAAAGACTGAAACCTCCTTGCAAATGATCTCAGAAAAGATAACTGCAGCTCTAAACATAAAAACAGTAAAAATAATTGCATACAAAAATGGAGATGGATATCGAAATGGGCAACTAATTATTGCTCACACATTCCCTACGGTGAGTAAGAATAATCCAAAGAGAGAATTGTAATTTAATTGATGAGGACAAATAGTGAGTCTGAAAAAGATAAAAAATATACTACAAATTCATACATGCTGGGGGAAAACTGTGAATCTACAGGTATCTGTCCTGTAGATGTCAGGTCAGATCCAAGGGGTGTAAGAACTGCTATGGATCTAGTATGAGCAAACTGCATTGTGAGGAGGAAGAGCCTTCTCATTGCAGGTAACACATTAAAAGTAATATGTCTATAATTTACTAAGAATCTCATTATTAGTTAATAATGTCAAGTTTGTACATTTACCCTCTCTCATTTCAAAATGTTTCCCTAAGTAGCATTAGAGGGCTTGTTTCTGTTGATGAAGAAAAGGTCCTGAAGGCTTATGATATTGCTTGAATGAATGTTTAATTGTAAATATGCAGAGTGATCACCTAGTGAACTTGCAAGCATTTGCAGGCAGTCCATATCCTGAAAAACAGAGATTTATATGTTAAGTGGGAAATCCAGTGAAGATTTAGGAAAGGAAAATTATATTAGGGGTTAGTTAATCATGCAAACAAAATTGATATATGTCCTCTAGAATCTTAAAGAGCAGAATACAAATATAATATAGCAACTTCTTTAAAAAATAACAAAATGAGGATTACAATATGATATCTTCTTATATATTGGTAATTATATATTTGAAATATATATGTGTGTGTGTGTGTGTGTGTTTTCCTTTTTGTAGCTGCTTTCATTATGTACAAGGCGTCTTGAACTTAGCAGGACAGCTTGTAAACTATATAACAGTGAAGGGACTCTGATCCTCACACTGCAGGATTTAGTCTTGTGTGCAGTGAATGATTATCTCAAAAAGCAAGAAACCGAAGAAAGAGATGAAGAAGCCATTTCTGATCCTGGCTTTAAACAAATTGCATCTGTGTTTTCAGGGAAAGGTAAAATGTGACTTTCCATATCTTGCCAAATAAAAGTGTATGCAATCATTATATAGATTATCCAACTTCATCAGAATAAATCTAAATCTAAAAGCTATATGGAACAGTTTTCTGACATACTGCCAAGAAATCTCTGATTTTTTTTTGTTTTTGTTTTAAATCCTTATTGTTGATTTGGTTTTAGATTTTTGTGGGCTTGACATTTTTACTTATTTACGCAGTACATCTTTGGTCTTTTATTTTTAGATGTATTGTGCACAGTTTTGATAGCACTGAACAAAAAAGATGGTGCACTGCTAATAAATAAAAAAACAAATGAACTAAAAGGTTCCTCTATATTTCAGCTCATGTATAAACAGACACTGAGTTGATTCTTTGAGGTCTGTCTTCATGATATGTGTGGGTTCTTTACCTGCTCAGAGCCCTGTTCAGGAATCTTCTAAAGCAGAATGATATTGGGGGGTGAGGGTGGGGGGGCTGCTTTTTTTTTTTTTACTCAGTTTTTGTTTTCTGTTTTCTGTTTTATTTACTCTTTTCTAGTTTTTTGTTTTGCATTGCTTGTTTCTTATTAATGGGAAGAAAAATAAAAGAAGAATAGAGTATCTGAAGAAGCTTGCTGGTTTAGGCAAATAACTCATCTAGTTCAGTGTTCTGTATGCCATGGTGACCAGCCATATGCATTCACTAAGCTCATAAGGACAGACAGGAGGGCAAGAGTCCCCTTCTACTTTTGCTCCCCAGCAGCTCATATTTAAAGTATTTAGTCTATGGTTCCAGCTGTAGTAAATACCCATCAAGACAAGAAATCATTTATGCTCCTCCATGCATTTTTCCAGTCCCCTTTTAAAATCAACTGAATTGGTAGCCTTCATCATATCTGATGGCAGCAAATTCCATGTTTTAGCTACTTGCTGTGCAAAGAAGTTCCTCCTTTTATTTGATTTTGAATCACCTTGTGTTTAATGTATGATTTTATATAACTGTCAGATCTTTCCTTACCTACTTTCATACTAAGTGAAAAAGTCCAAGATGCTGTAGTCTTTTCTCCTCAGGGAACTATTACAGACCTCTAACCATTTTGAGTGTCCTTTTCTGTACCTTCTCCAATTCTTTACAGTAATATCATTTTTGAGATGTAGTGACCAGAACTATACATAACACATAGGGGCATTACTAAACTGGTAGTTTTATTTTAAATTTGTTTTCTAATGATCCCAAGCATTTTTAATGATCCCAAGCATGGATTTTGCCTTTTATAACAGATGCACAACTGAACTGTCCACTATGAGGGCAAGATTCTTTTTCGAACTACTTCAGGTCTCATTAATGTATATGCAAAGTTCTGATTCTTTCACACCAATGGGCATCATATTGTACTTTCTTTACTGAACAATATTTGCCATTTGAAACCCACTTATAGGTCATGCTGGAGGTCTTTGCAATCCATTTTTTACATTTTATTATCTTGAGAAATTTGATATCATCAATAAATCCTTACCCCCTAAATCCAGATTGTTTATTAATAAATTAAAAGTATCACTCTGTGTACTTAAATTAATCTGTGGAGCACTTTCCACATATCTCTCCAATACAATAATACATTGTATCATTTTACTCAGAATGGACATTAAGCTAATGGGACATGCATTCCTGTGACTCTTCTAGATCTCAAAGTAACAGATTATTTTCAGATAATCTCAGGAACAGATACTGATTTTAAAACAAAGTTGTATATTTTTGTTGGAAGAGCAGCAATCTCACATTTATAAGAACCCTCAGATGTATACCATCTGGGCCCAGCTATTTATTTATTTTTAATTTGTCAGTTTCTTATTCTTGCTCTGTCTATTTGTCTCAGTTCATCAGATCCCCTTCTTGAAAAAGCCAGCTCAGGCATAGACATCTATCTTATGTCATCATCAGTGAAGGGAGAAGCAACAAATTAAGTTTTCCTATCCTCCTTTATGTCAGCCAGTACCTTTTGGCAACTGCTGTATGTGAGGGTGCTCTTTCTGCTTGTTATACTTGGGTGAGGGCCATCTTGTTATCATTTTTGCTGTATTACCAGTACTTCTCTAAACAGACTTAACAAAAGTTTTGCTGCCTTTTAGAGTTCTTATAATAGATTTAGCAGCAGATTCAATGTCTGTGGAGGCATTTATCTGGACTGGCAGCTACTACCTAACTCAGTTTCCACAGCATTCCTCAGATTATCAATCCAGACTAATTCCATATCCTGGTGCTGCAATACATTGACCCTGAAGGTGATATGATTCCCATTTAAATCAGTATATTGTTTGCCTCCTATTTTTTATGGCCATTTCCACTATGTTGGAACATTTTCTTAATACTCTAGATGTTAACAGGACCTTGGCCTTGCATATTGCTATGGCAGCCTTGATTAATTAAGATCTATTTGGGAACAAGGGCTTCCTGCCAAAGTTATTTCTCAGCAATAGGAAGGTGTCAAACTGGATTCTGTATACACAGAAAACTCTGTTTCTATGTATATACAAATACATAGTTGATAACTCAGAGAACCACAATTACAGATTAGCAACCTGTAGAAGGTGAAGATTAGTTAGTTGCTGGTAACTGGTTATATGTATAGATTGTCTAAACGCTCTTAGTTATAGGGCAACAGATAAATTCTGGAAAATCTATCATCTGTCTGTCTGTCTGTCTGTCTGTCTGTCTGTCTATCTATCTATCTATCTATCTATCTATCTATCTATCTATCTATCTTTATCATTGAAGTCCAAAGTTGCACCCTTTATTTTTAATGGAAAAACACACTCACACATTTATGATAATAGAAAAAAGCAGCTTTGTTAATCTGTCCACTTCTTGAAACACATTGACTAATATAGTTCTAATAGCCCTAAAGTAGGGGAGGAGGGTGGCGCTGGGAAGTTAGTGGTTAGCCAAACAAATAGAACTGGGCAATGCTTTAAGGTTCCACTTTGCTTGGACAACGCTTCAGATGAAGCACTCTGTGAAGGTACTTACGATGAAGCAGTGCAACCTACCACTGCACATACTTTGCTTACTGTCACTTCTGAGCCTCCTTCAGTAGGTCTAATACTTCTGCATGTATTGCTGGAACTGCTGATTATGATGCTAAGATGATGCAAAACATCTCAGTGATGCAAATTAGGTTGCCTTTGCAGTGAAGCACTTTGTTGAGGCAAATCAAAGCTTTCTTGCACAGCCCTAGGAAATTTATGTGATAGTATGAAATACTATGAAATGTGATGTCCACCAAGATATTCTGAATGCTGGGCTCCAGAAACATATTCAATTACATTAAAATGTGAAAGGAAAAGAAAAACTGTTATAAATATTTATTTCAGTGCAAGAGAAAAATAAATTATTTTTCTAGCTTAGTTAAAGATAATAAGTATACCACTGGCACAAACTTTCTTCTTGCCTTCCAGGGTTTTTTTAACAGAATTCTGTATCAAGCTGGATAGATCTTTATATAGTCAAAGCTGAACATAATAATTATCAAAAAGTGAAATGAAAACACCTTTTCCATTAATTGTTTGGGTGTATTTCAGCTATTTTAATTTTCCATTATTTCTGTTTTATATTTGATTGTTACACATTATATTCTATTTTTTAATCAATTGTACATAATAAAAAGAACTCACCTGACTTCCTTCATTTGTTCTCTCTTGCCTATTTGTTTTCTAAGCAATATACTAATTTCTAAGATGCTTTTCATTAAAAGTTTGCAGCTGCTTGGTATTAGTCATCCTTCCATTTCTTATAAAATTTACTTATCCCATCAGTTCAAAAGGTTAAAACAATGCTAATAATTTCAACAAATTAAATCTTGTCAATTGCCCATAATTTCTTCCCAGAACATAAAAAAGGCCAACAATTTTTTAAAGCCTTTTAAATATCACTGATAGCTATTGTATAAACTATTTAAATAAACTTTTTAGTTTTGATATTTATTTTTAATAAAGTACAGTAGATGGAGTCCTTTGATTACAGCATAAGGGACAATGGTAGTGGTGGTGGAACCACCAGAACAAACACTCAATTCTGAAGGAGTCAGTAGAAAATAGTGAAGCCAATTGTGAGAATAATGGCTTCCTCCATTGAATTTTAGTTTCTTAATTCGTTAGCAAGAAACTTCCCAATATTTGAATACCTCATATTGTGGAAACCCAGTAGGTTTCTGGTTGTAAATCTTTAATGCCCAAATGGCTTGGTCACAGGACCACCTGAATTTGATATGCTCATCCCAGGTGAGAAGGCTTTGAGTATCTCACACACTTATGAGGAGAAAGGGATGAGCTCCCTAAAGCAGTGTTTCTCCCTGGTAGCCCCCACATCTTGGAATAGTCTCCCCCCAGAGATTCACATTACTCCCACATTGGAATCTTTCAGGAAGATCTTGAAGATGGAACTCTTCCTCTGGGTATTTGAAGCCTAATAATTTTTATTAATGGTTTGGGTTGCTGCCATTTTTTTATAGTACATTTTATTACATATTGTTTTATTTTTATTACTGTATGTGGCTATATGTTGCAAACCCCTGAAAGTCAAATTGATGCCAGCAGTATATAAATTCAATAACATAATAAGTATAAAATTAGGAAATTGTACAATTTGAGAAAACTGTCAAATGAAACAGCACTATGAAAGAATTCTGATAAAACCTTTCTATTTCTCTCTTTACCAAGATAAGGATAAGAACATCAAATTTACATCATCAATGATAACATCAGATATTGATCATTTTGTACTCACCAACATTCTTAGAAATCCAGTTGAGGTCTGGGTTTCCAGTGGAGAACCTTTTCTGCCTTTGGATAGTAAGTCATTAAAAAAAAAGGAAAATGTTATAATAGCATGAAAACACAGCAAATTATAATGTTGGTATAATATAAAGCCTACTTTTTAAATCAAATGCATAAATAAATATTCTAGATATGTCCAATGGCATTTCTACCTGTTTTCCTTTAAATGGCTGACACCGTGTCTATGAAATTACAAATTCTTTTTGTATTGTTCTTTGTTTCCATAATTCAATACAGAATGTAAATGTTCAAGAATGCAAATTTGTGTACAACTCATCTCTAGAATATAGAAAAAATAATAGATATAGTTTGAAAAATAATAGATTATCATCACTGAGAAAATTACAGCATTTTATTTATTTATTTATTTATTTATTTATTTATTTATTTTTGTCATCCCATTCTAGAACATTCTTCAATTATTTCCCATATTTATCAAATAGGAAGATGAGTGTGGATTTAAGACAAATCCCACACAAAAAGGAAAATTAGGCAGAAAAAAGTTATAAAACACAAAAATTAAGTATACTGCCAGGCTTTTCTACCTTGCCCACAAGGATTGCTAAATGTCAGTGAAAGATTTTCTCAGATATATACCTGTGATATGGTTGAATAAGTGGAATTTTATGTAGTGTATGTATGTATATATGTATGTGTAGACAGATAGATAGACAGACAGACAGAATAAATACATATACATATACATTTGCCTCCATTGCTAGTACATATACATATAGACACACACACACACATATATATACATACACATGCATATACATCATGCACAGTCCAGAAGCAACACAAAAAAGGCAGGGCTTAGACAAAAAGTTGATATTAATTAAATTAATGAATACTGATTCAATTTAATTAGCTGAAAACTGTATACCCAAAAACAATAAACTATTGCATTGGTTCTCAACGGGGGCAGTACCGCTCCCCGGGGGGCAGTGGGAGGATGCTGAGGGGCAGTGAACTTGTTTTGGGCGGTAGGGGGGCGGTGGGCATGTT